TGCCCCCCATTCACGTCGCCCCACTCACCACGCCACAACTGAATCGGCGCTTGCATACATGTTTGAACAGGAGCCGACATCCACGACAACTCAGTACGTTTTGCGCACACCACCCCGGATAGCTACGAATACAACAAACCACGCCACCCGTAAAGGAATGTATGAATTCCCCCCAAAAAAAAATCCCAAAATAAACACCCGCAAACAAGTCATCAACATTACCCCATAATCCATCACCCCTTCGTCCAAGTCATCATCAGTACCGCCGCTGTCGTACCCACATTGCACACGACTACAACCCGTATGAAGAAACAAAGCAATGGACTTGTCGACATCAAACAACGCCCTATGTCGTCGACCGACCACGTATGGCGGCAACAATCTCCATCAAAGCATGGCATATCATCCTCTGCGTTTCTTCCGAGGCCGTGTAATGTGCTTTCTGAACTGCGACTTCTTGCTCCAATATATTGCATTGCCTAGTGAGAATGCTGCACTGCCGCTTGCTGGAAGTGTCTATTGTTGACGACATCAATTCTCCATGACGGTCCATCACATCAGCGATGGACTCCAGCGCCTGCTTCCGCGCATTCTTCCGCTTACCACATCCTGCCCCGCTGCCTGTGTTGGTATCACAGTCCCTTGTCGACGACCGTTCTTCAGGGCACGCATCACCACCATCCTCACTACCCACGGACTCCCCGCCGGTCGGTCCTCGTCTGGGCAACTGCACGCCTTCCGGATGACCGGTGTCCACGATGTTCGGCGGGAAAATCGTGTGATTCCCAAGCATGCTCCCGTGTATCTCGTTGTACACTACCTTATCCATTCGAAATTTGAAGTTCCTCTCCTTCCTTTCTTCATTCGACAGTCGGAAGGAATCGGCCTCGCCGCTCATGTTGTGGAAACGCAGTATCTTCTTGTAGTTCTGAAAAAGGTTATCCCACTTTTTCATGTAGTCATCCGTGTCCTTAGGCTTCCCCGCCAACGCCATTCGTTTCGATATGTCGTCCCACTTCCACTCTTTCGTCCTCATCCGTCCGTAGTTGTGTCCTAGCCCTACAAGGTGCATCTCCTGCTCCCTCTTGCACCGCACGAGTACCAGCTCATCGTCCGTAGACCAGTAGGATGTCGATTTCCCCCCCTCGCTGGTGCCCCCCCCTCTCCCGCCCCGGCCCGCGGACCGGCCTGGACCACCTGCTCTACCACGCCCCCTACCCCCGCTACCACTTTTCCCCAAAGGCCGAATTAGCGTTTCGTCGTCGTCGTCCTCAGCTGCTTCGAAGTCCTCCCTGCACCCTTCGTCGGCATCGTCACCATACCCGCCATTGTCCTCGCCGCCATCGCTGTTGGCCCTCATGTTCGACACTCCTCTGGTAATATTCTCCACGGAGGTTTGTGCACGCAACGATGCTCTAGTCGGGGCGTCGTCTGTCTCTTATACACATCTAGATGTGTATAAGAGACAGACCACGCCCCCTACCCCCGCTACCACTTTTCCCCAAAGGCCGAATTAGCGTTTCGTCGTCGTCGTCCTCAGCTGCTTCGAAGTCCTCCCTGCACCCTTCGTCGGCATCGTCACCATACCCGCCATTGTCCTCGCCGCCATCGCTGTTGGCCCTCATGTTCGACACTCCTCTGGTAATATTCTCCACGGAGGTTTGTGCACGCAACGATGCTCTAGTCGGGGCGTCGTTGCTCATTTCGGCATCACGTGGCACGCCTGCTGATGAGAGATGTGTTCATCCAGACACCACCCACGCTGGCGCAGCCCGGATTCCGGTGCGTGCTGGCGAGTTATTGACGACGCGTTCGACTGCGGCCACAGTCGATCCACGCTGCCGCGGCAAAGGTGATGACCCCGCACCTCCAGTCACGGATGCCTGCCCACGGACTGCAGTGTGCTCCGTTTGCTCACTTCGTGGTTGCTGGAGGAATCGAGGCGAAGATTGTGGTTCGATGATAAACGTTCGACTCGCATCCCTCGCCCCACCAGACGAGAATGAAGACAACCTCAGATCGACGTCTCCGCCACTGCTGCAATCCAATCCTCCATGCAGAAGGGAAGTGAATTCACCACCTTCGTTGTCTGCCGACCCGCCAGCTGTCAGCGTCTGGGTGAACAACAACTGGGTTGATCCGCTTGCCAATGGCATCGTCCCCGGTTCCTCGGTGTCCACCTCCTCATCTGATGGCGGCAGCGGAGTCTCCCACGATGGAAGATGCCTGTACAATGACGGGTCGTAGCGCCGCGGGGCAATAGCCCCCGCCAACTCACCACGGGCCTGACCTCTCACCTGCCCGCCGCCTACATGCATGTTCGCCATGTTCTTGTCACTGTGCGCCGTCTTTGTGGACAACCTCTTCTTGCGACTCGTCTTCCAAGGCCGCCACGACAAGCAGACGTGGAGGAAGACGACAAAAATGAAGACAACGATGACGAGTACCAGCAGGGGCAACCTACGCTGCACGGCTGCCATGAAGTCCACAGAACAATGCTGTCCTATCACAGCACTGCACTCAAGAATGTCGGCAGTACACAACAAGGCGAGACCTTCATATGACCGCAACCGACACGGAAGACGACGAAATGGGAGGGCGACGAATTCAGAAGCCGACCGTTGGTGCCAAAATGGGAGGGCGACGAATTCAGAAGTCGACCGTTGGTGCCCGTGCACTGCCGTCCCGCGCCCACCTCAATCTACACGCGCACGCTTCCGTTCTCATGCCCTTCACTCCAGCACCCAACGGTCGACTACGGAAGCCCGGCCACCCAGGGTCCCCCGCCGCCTACGCCAGCCCTCCACTAGCCCGTCACACCACGGCGCGGCGACCCTCCAACGGCCAACTTTCATGGCCGTTGCCGCCGTCGGACCACGTAATACCTCCGTTGTCCGGCCGCTGGGCCATCGGCCCGGTTCTGTACCACCACTTCCGAGACGGCGATGTGCTGCACGCGACGCCACGACTCCGTGAACTGCGGGAATCCTAAATTTTTCAGTAGCCCCGGGGCTACTGAAAAATTTAGGACGATTTGGCTGGGGAATCCTAAATGATTTAGGACGAGTCCTAACGCCGTTTTCACATCTCCGATCGCCGAAATCGATTTAGGATTGCGTTTCACCGAAATGCAATCCTAAAAACTGGAACTTTTAGGAGTGTCTAACGAGACCCTAACTGCCTCCTACCTTGCATAGTATGTGGAGCCTTTCACTTAGGGTTGTTGTATTTCTTCTTCTTCTTCTTTTTTTTTTTTTTTTTCCCGAAAAGGAACTCGTATGTTCCAAAATTCAATTGACGAGGCCGGGACCTCACAATTCAACCCGGAGTTATCCCGGCAGCATCAGCCGGTTTAGGTTAGTCTAAACTAGCAAAATAAAATGAATTCGCAAACGAAATAAAGCCAAACACACTATCCACTACCAACCAAATCTACTACCGTAGACCCTAGGAGCAGAGTGGTTCCCTCATCTCTCACTGTCTGAAACACTGCGAAGAGCCTGAGCTTGCCAAGACGGGTTTCTCACCACGCACCCAATGGATACATCTCAAGTTTGCTTTTCACCGGTTCTCTCTTTCCTCCCGGCCAGTAGCGTTCCCACTGCCCCTCGTCACACTCCCACTGTTCAAGGTGGCACTGGTACTAGTAGTTCCGTGGACTTCACTCTGAGCTACTCTAAATTACTTCCCTCTTCTGTTGGTGAATTTGGGCAAGAGTCATCACAGAGCACCTGCAGACCTATCAACTACCTTCCTCACCCACAATGGTTCCCTCAATTCCATCCGGGCAAGCTTCTCATCCTTACTGCCCAAAGCACTGTAAAGTGCCTGTCAGTGAGCTGCCGAGACGGGTTTCCCACCGCGCACCCAATGGATACACCTCAAGTTTGCTCTTCACCGGTTCTCTCTTTCCTCCCTACCAGTAGCGTTCCCACTGCCCCTTGACCCACTCTCACTCTTCAAGGTGGCACTGCTACTAGTGGCTCGTTGACGTTTGCCCTGAACTAATCTTTTTTTTTTTTTTTTTTTTCAAACAGCTTCCCCCACTAGTGTTAGTGGTGCTGATAAGAGCAGACACCACTAGCACCTCACTTCCCTCTTCTATTTGTGAACTACTACTGCGACCTTCTCAAAGCAACTGTAGACATCAACTAAATTTCTCATCCATCATGGTTCCCTTAGCTCTATCAGGGCAAACTTTTCATCCTCACTGTCTACAACATTGTAAAGAGCCTGAGCTGCCAAGACGGTTCGGCAGTTTTCTGATTCAGGGAATTGCCGATTATTCTTACACGATGCTGCTAGGTTCATCTCTCACTGTCCAAGATACCATAAAGAGCCTGAGCTGCTGAGACGGGTTTCCCACCACGCACCCAATGGATACACCTCAAGTCTGCTCTTCACCGGTTGTCTCTGTCCATCCGACCAGCAGCGTTCCCACTGCCCCTTGCCACACTCTCACTGTCGAAGGTGGCACTGCTACTAGAAGTTCTGTGAATTTCATCCTGAACCAATCTAATTTACTTCACTCTTCTCAGTTGTAAAATACTGCAGCAGCCTTCTCAGAAGAGCCACAAACATAACAGCTGAGATCCTCACCCAGAATGTTTCCCTCAACTCTACCAGGGCAATCTCATCATCTCTCACTGTCCGAAACTGTTACACTGTTAAGAGCCTGAGCTGCCGAGACGGGTTTGCACCCAATGGATACACCTCAAGTCTGCTCTTCACTGGTTCTCTCATTCCGCCTGACCAGTAGTGTTCTCACTGTTCAAGGTGGCACCACTACTAGTAATTCCGGGAATTTCGCCCTCACTCACTCTAAAATATCATACCAAACCAAGTAATCCCCCTAGTACCCAGCTTAGCAAGGGGCTTAGCCAACCAGGCATGCAGTACTCAACAGGAACATCAGCTAAGTCATTTGCAGTCTAATGAACATGAGTTAATCTAACCTAACATGCAACCACATTCAATCCGTATAAAGGAAATTATCACTATCGCGTTCGGCCGACCTTCCCCGACTTCGACCCTAAAAGGCGTGTGCTGAGGCGCACACAATAATACGCCGACCAAAGCGATCTCCTGACACATCTCGAATTTAGGACGAAGGTCGAATTAGGGAAACCCGTGAATCTAGCCTGTTCTGGCCAATAGATGTATAAGGCTATGGGGTCTAACCATCAGAGAGCCTGCTCATCTAAATAGATTGAACCAACCAATATGGCCAAATACTAAGCATATCCATTCAAAACAGTGAATCTATTCTAGTCAATACCAGAAGCAAAACCTCTGGATTGGGCATTCCTCAGGATCACATGCTCGTAGAGCTTCCAGCTCGCTCCCACCGATGCTGCGGACTCTCCCACTGTCCACCGCATCGCCGCTCCGGATCGTTCTTCCTATAGCAGAGCTCGTAGTTCTTGATCAGCGCCTTCCGCTAGATAAGCTCGCCCGAAACTCGGACCTGCTCTTCGCAGGCACGAGCGGTAAAGTTGTTGCCTCGCCCGAAATTAATTAGGGCAAAAGAGAGAGCATTTCGGTAGTTTCCAGAAGATATTTGTTGGTAAGCATAGGAGCCGGAAGTCGGCGAGGAGATTGTGACGAACCACTTTCTGTGCCGCGCGACTTTCTGCGCGATGACAATGAGGGGTCCTAAGATGGGAAGGTTGGGCCAATTACGAGAGATGGGATCGACGGGAAATTGCATCAGTACCCTTGTTTATTCCTCTTTTTACGTCGCTTCTTTTCGAATGGCTGGGGCCAGGGCTGGGCAGGTCCCGGGATGGTCGGTTGAGTGGCTGGSGCGCCGACAGAGGCGCGATTAATAATGTTTGACGTCACTTCTTTCTTGTTCTGTAGTCGGGTTTTTGGCGCGGTGATCGCGCGGGAAGTTTTTGCTTCCTTTTTGAATTCCTTTTTCAAATCTTGTCGAGCCCTCGATGGCTCTCGGAATTTCAGACTTTCTTTTCAGAATTTGTGCTTTAATAAAGTCCCTTTTGCATTTTTACGTGAATAGGAATTTAGAAATTTAGGAACTTAGGAATTCGGAATTTCTTTTGCCGCTCGCGCGTTTCTTTTTGCGGCTGCAACGGAGCTCTGATTAGTAGGCGCCCTTAATCTTGCGTGTAACTGTAATTCTCGGCGGGGCGCCCTTGTAACTGTATCTTTCTTCTTTAGCTTCGTCTTTCCCCCCCTCTTTCTTCTTTGCTGTGTCTAATTGGCCTGTGGGCTGCATGATCGGATCGATGCGTGGAGAGTGGCTACATCCCCCACGCCGCGATCTGGCCATGCAAAACGTAGGCACTCCCTCCCCTTTTCTCCTTCTGAGTCCTTGCAATTCCGTGTTCTTCGCGCATGAATGCACGCTATAAATTTCGGTTGCGCCAGTAGATAGCTCTCTTAAACAGTTGCTGGAATCTCGGTGTAGCGTGATCAGTGAGGGTCGGCTCACGAGCGAGGTAAGAGGTGAGTTGAAGTGGGACTCAGAGTTGGGCGACCCGACGAGCTGGTGCCCAATGTACGGGGTTGACGCGTGGGGCTACGACGGACTATGGCACGCAGGCGAGCCCGACGGGTACAGGAGGACTAAGCGGGGTGACAGCTTTGTGGGTTGGTGCGTGACGATGGACTGTCCGTATCGGAGAGACGGAGTGAGAAAGAGAGTGAGATGGATGGGCGTGGATTTGTAATTTTCTTTGTCTTCTCCTTTACTTCTATATATAAGTTTGGATTGCGGCTCGGGCAAATTCGCCCTTATTTTATTTCGGCATCTTTGTCTCGACGTTGTCCCTTGTATGGTGTCTCATTCGGTCTCAATCCTCCCTCTTTTGTGTATATTGGATGCACGAATTTTCGATGGAATGATACGCTTGCCATTTTTGCCTAATCATCATCGTTGCTTGTCAATTTGATTTGTTGTCATTATAATAAGAGTTTGATGTTGTTGCAGCGTGCGATGTCATTTTGCATGATCGGAAAGGATTGGTTGTGGGATCACTGAATGATTAGAGGATTGGATGGCCACGTGGCGATTTTGCATGTAGGATTGGACTCTCACTTTTGCATGAAAACCAGCCAACAGGCCCGTGTACGACCGAACACCTCGTGTGCGCGCGTGTAAGCGCGATCTGATCAGCGTGACCTACACGTGTCCACACACGGGTGATTCACGATCACTGATGAACTGGGCACCTCCAGCATCGAGATAGCGAGAATTTGAGCCGGCAAGAATTTCCGCCCCCATACCCGGGAAATTCCCTTCTCGGTCAAAGTATGATCCGATGTATGCAGAAAATTCTCACTAGCTAGTGATCCGCCGGAATGCCAAGATGTCAGAGTGCAGTGAATACTGGGAGGAAGAACAACTAAGACTGAGACATTCGAAATTCCCTTGTCTAACTGAGAATGACCGACTGTGTCCTAGGGTCTTCTGTTGCGCCGTAACTAACGACCCAAGGGCTCCCGACTACCCAACTACGTATAACACGCAATATTTCATATCTCCCGGCTTCGTCGTTGTCGCCACCAATTT